ATCTTTCATGCCACTCCTGAAACAAACTAAAGGTCAGCCTTTGAATGGTATCCAAACCTTCTTCTCTCTCAGTACTACAAATAAATTGCGGTACTGCAAAATCCCGTAGTTTGTCAGTAGCTCATGGCTCTGTGCAGCAGCAGGAGGAACAAGGCATGACAGCAAAGTATTTCACTAATTGAGCCCAAGTTTCTGCAGAGTCAGAACCCCCTTTGTGTTCCAAAACAACCCCTGGCAGCAGGGAAGAGGTCAGCTGTGGATACAGGCATGTTCCTGGGAAGGCGCAAAGAAAGCAAGTGCTAGTTTGTCCTTGGAAAGGAAGGTGGTGTCGGCCAGGACTTCATGACAGAGCCCAGGTAAGGATCTGAGCTACAGCTGGCAACCTTCTAGGGGCTTACAGAGCCTCGCCCAGAACTCAGGTCCCCTCCGTCCCTTCTGAAAAATATTGGGTGCTCTCCATGTTTTCTGCGAAATAAATGACAATGTTTCTTCACTATTTTAGCACTCCCTTCTCTATTTTGGTTATCTTTCCCCTCTTGTAATTTATGGCAAGTGCAGAATATCGCTCTTTCTTAACAGAGTATTATCCTTCTAACACCACAAAATAATCCCACAGTATAATTCATGGCTTGTGATCCGTCTTTTCTAGCTGGCCACGTGTTGTGGCGGTGTTCCCCCCTGCCCTGAATATCCCTGGCAAGCCCAGCAGTCAGTCCCCGGGGGCACGAACGCTGTTGTCCGGGTACTGAGATAGCTCTGTGCGGCTGGCTCCCCGGAGGAAGGCGTATGGTATTAAATCATAGAATCACAGAATCATTTAGGTTGGAAAAGACCTTTAAGATCATCAACTCCAACCGTTAACCTAACCCTGCCATCCCACCACTAAAACTTGACCCTAAGCACCTCGCCTACCCATTTTTTAAATACCTTCAGGGATGGGGGCTCGACCGTGAAAGGTGTTTTAAGGTTGGGTGAAAGCTTTTATTTTCCCTCCACTTTATTCTCAGGGACCCCTGAAACCAGCACAGAAAGGGGTTGGCTCATCCGCTTTGGGTCCCGTGCGCCCCCCGGCGAGTACAGCCAGAGGTGACTTTCGGAGGACTGAAGGGAGGCAACACACACCTGCATTAACTTGTATGTGCCAGTTTCCCCCTCCAACCTAAGGAGAAAAAGAATTTGAGATACCTTTCGCAGCACGCTTAGATACCGCATTCGTCTCCGATCTTTGTATGGAGCTTTTGGAAGACATTGTAAAAAAGTAAATGAAGGGAAAAAACATTCCCCAGTGCGATGGTTTAAAAAAGGGCAAGGATCCCCCTCTCTCTTGCTATGCCACCCTGTAATGTTTTCCTTTTGAGATTCTCATTTTTAACTGAAACTGAAAATTAAAATTTTCTAGGTAGCACAAATCAATTACAGTCTGCACGTGTAAGAAGTTTCATTGCAATAGGGGTTTTCACTGCTATTCTGTCTGAGAAAATTGAAATGCAAACATCTGCAGAGAAGCTGATTTGGCCTATATCTTCTTCAGTATAAAGAAATATTAAAATTTAAAACTCCCAATATTTTTCTTGAAAAAAATGTTATTCTTGCCACAGAGCAATAATGATGACTCCTGCCACGAAGTCCATCTCCAGGTTAAGCATTTTACTGTGTATAAACTGTGCTGATTTGACCCATTCACAGATCAGAAACTGTTCTGCAGCTGAATATCACATACAGTTAATACAGTATTTTGGGGGGGAATGCTGGAATTTTACATTACAGAAATTTGTTAATAAAACTTTGAAGATTAACATGATATGGTCAGGAAATATAACACTAATGGTAAGCAATCAAAAAACCAAACCCAAATACTTTGTTCAACTATAAATACAAGAATGCAGCAGGTAACTGAACTGAGAAAAATATTTTAATTACAGACCCTTTAGACTGTTTAAATTCTGTATTTTAAGCAGAAACTACTAGATATTCAGACCATATCTATAGTTTGTAACATAAAATCCTAAATGATTCTTAGTTAACCAAGTTACTAACAGGACTTACTCTTCCGACTTTGGCTTTCTCTCCAGAAAATCCATTTCAGATATTTTGGAATTGGACCAGATGTAAGCATGAACGAACTGAATAAAGTCTAAAACCCGATGGCTGCTAAACATTTATGTAACCTTAAACCAAATTCCTGCCTATTTTCATTTGTATTCAACAGGTAGGGAA